CTCACGCCTCTCTCAGAAATTTCCCAAAGACTCCAAAAACTCTACTCTGACAAATTTGGATCTGAAAATGTCAAAATGATTCAGGATTCTGGCAAAGTATGATCTTTATTCTCTCTAAAAAATTCTAATATATTACTTCCACTAATCCACTCGAAATACTGTGGGATCACTCTCTGTTACTCATTTGGTACACAAACATATGTGTCTAAAAACTCTACCGGTTGAAGGGCATCAGAGAAATACCATCTCCTATTAAGTTTACCTTTAAGAACAACAGAAAAGCTTAATTTCCATAGTGTTACCTCTCAAAATAATAATTGTATCGTAGAACAAATTTGGATTACGATCATATCCTGTGTTTTCCTTAGCTATATTTCTTGCCAGTTCATGCACTGTCATTCTTTGGAAGTTTTTCCCTTTTCTGCACGTCGAGAGCAGAGTCCAAACTTTCTTCTGAAGTAAGAAACAGACCCCTCTGTCCGAGAAAAGTACCATATGTAAATAATATTTTAACTCTATCAGTTGTTCTTGTTATCCTTTGCCTATGTGTCTGAGCCTGTTCAATTTTATAAACACTTAAACTGTAGAAAAAAAATGCTCACACAGTGTCATCTGGTTAAATCTAGATTTGTCATAGGACATGCTTTCCTTTGTAACTGAAGGCTCCAAAACCGGTGAACTGAAGAGGGCTACAGTATCCTGTACGCTGAGAATAACACATACGGCACAAGATGCCTCTCTGCAGTCCTTTCATTCCCTTCCTCAGCCCATTTTTAACTTTTGATTGGACTCAGAATTTATGGTGATTTTCTCTTATTATAATTTCCTGTCTCTTCTTCGATTCTACCAGTAAGATCACAAAGTTCTGTGCTTCTCGGCCTCAAAGTGCAGCAATGGGTGGGCTTTTCAATATTGGAACTTTAAAAGGAGCGGAGGACTTATGCAAGGGCTAGATTTCATGACATGGAAGGCAAGAGATTTATATTGTAATCTCAGTTTTTCACAGCTCTTCCAGTATACTCTCCTGAATTCTTTACAATTAATTATGATGCATGTGTTTGTCAGCATTTGTAGGGAACATTTTCTATCAGCTGTATCAGAATGAGTACATAAATTACCACTTAAGTTCCAGTCCAATAATCTTGAAAACATTGCAGATTTAAAAAAAAAAAACAACCAAGCAGCATGTTCCAATAAAAATGGATAACAGCAGGGAGACCTTAGCTCTGTTCCCAGTTTGCTCCAGGACTTACCTGGTGACTTCATCTGTCTATTTGCATTGTTGCTTTTCCCATTCAGTTTATAGAAGTGAAATGGCTCAGAGACAGGCAGAGATAACATGAATATTTGACGTGGGACTAAAATGGTAGGCAACCACTTTTAGAAAGATGCGCAGATTTAGGGTGCCCTCTTTATCCCGTGGTTGGGGGAATTTACAAAAAAAAAAAAAAAATCCTTGGTCCATTTGGGGACCCTGCTGGGCAGACTTAGGAAGCCTTATCTCTTGGTACTGGAGACTAGTTGCTGCTTTTACCAAATCAAAGATCTGCCAGTCCATGAGACTCTTACTCATCCAGTTCTAGAAACAAAATGAACTGAATAGTGAAGCCTTCAATTTGCCCTGCTCCGACCAGTATATTCTTTAGGACCCTCATAGGGTGTCAGAGTTGAGACAGACAGGTTGGGAGGCATGCCTTCTGAAGGTGATATCTGAACTATTTACAATGCAGGGTTTTATTTTTAATTATTAACTTTTTTTATCACTAGCAATTTTTGGTCTCCAATCTACTATTGTATCAGTTGTCATGGAGGACAAGTATTTCTTTCTGGGTTTTCTGTACCTGTGCTGCCTTCCAGTGTTAATCATGGGTATAACTCTGCATTATGTTTTTGTTTGCAGTTCTGCATATAGCAATTACCGATAGTGAGTGCTTAAAAAAACAAACAAACAAACCACAGCATGTTGTAATGCATCTAGCTGTGTTGTCTTCCTAATAGTTAGAAATTGAATGCAGAGCATCCATGTAAGAGCATTAATGTTTCCTGTGTTTTCAGTAATTTACAGATTGGGAGACCAAATTTAATTTCTGAAAGTTGTGTGACTCCAATTAAATCCACTTTATTCACAATGTAGCTATTTGATTTTTTTTTGTCATGTTTTTAAGGTAAATCCTAAGGATTTAGATTCAAAATATGCATATATTCAAGTTACACATGTAATTCCATACTTTGAAGAAAAAGAGTTGCAAGAAAGAAAAACAGATTTTGAAAGGACTCATAACATTCGTCGCTTTATGTTTGAGATGCCTTTTACTCAAGCTGGTAAAAGACAAGGAGGAGTAGAAGAACAGTGTAAGCGACGGACTATTTTGACAGGTACTAACTGAATGGAAATCTCCTTTAAATGAAAACTGCTCTTTTGTTTTTTATACTTAATTCTTGATACTAGGTTTTTCTATATGTTGTGTATTTTGTCAGAAAAAATCCTTTAGAAGTTTTCACACGTGACTGTTGGAGGTGACAAGAATTGCAAAGTATACCAAAATACTGTTAGACAAAAAAACCTTTCAAAATTAGTACATGCTTGAAAATAAATGATATGCAAACACTTATAAATGACCATCTGAGAATATGTATATCATTGTGTGATTTCTTAGCTGCTAAGCATTGGAAAAAGAGAGTAAAATCTTATATTTGACTATGTTCTAACTACCCTTCACTTTTAAATCATTTTGGTTTTTTTTAACAATGGAATGTCTGCATCTCTCCCTTCGCCCTTCCGTGTGCTCACCTCTCTTTGCTATAAAACATTGAAGAACAGTGGTATTATGCTTGCTGGTTTGGGTGTGGGGTTTTTCAGCATTCTTTCAGTTTGTGGACCTGTTGAATGCAGCGTTGGTTCTTTTGTCTAAAAGCAGCTGAAAGAGCCTGAAGGCAGGTTCTGGTTTGATTTCCAGCCTCTGTTCAGTTGTGACTTTGGACTAATCACTGTGCTTTAGTTTCTCATTTGTTAGCTTTAGAAGGGAGAGAGAGTGCCCATCTATCTCCCCATAGGCTCAAACTTTAAAGATGTTTAGTGATACAAAACATTCTATAATGCTTTTAAGGGAGATAATTAAAAGTTACGGTTTGTTTGGCGATGTTTCTGTATAACATGTAAATCTAAATTTGTGAAATAACAAGTTGGGCTTTGACTGGAAGCACTAATTCAAATGGTCTAACTCCGTTCTCTATGGGTTTTTCCATTTCACTTACTTAAAGTCCTTTACAGCTATCAACTAAAATACTTTCCATATTTTTAGCCAAACTGGTTTTCAGATGGGTTTCTTCAAGGGATAATCCTGAAATAATTCTTTTGTTTTTTTCCTTAAGCTTCAAGAATTGTGAATCTGGAGTCTAGCTTTCCTTGTTCTTAGAAAAAGACTATTTTGTGTTTTGTCTCTGTTAAGTGTGAGCTTCTGTATCACTGTCTTAATATAGCGGTGAAAGCAACTTAAATAAATGACTTTATTGTGTAAGCTGTCCATAGCTTATACTTGTGAGGAAATAAAAAATACAGCTTTGCTATTTTTGATTCTTCTCCTTTTTGAGATATGTGGATGATAAGCAATTCTTTTTACAGTTCTTATATGAATTAAGTTCCAATGGTTTATTTCTTGGTTATTATTAGTAGCAGTAACGACAATGATGTTTCTTTGCTGTAATACATGTAAAGCCATGCATATTTATATTTTCAATATTTTGTTTCCCTGTATATTTGGTAGTATTTCTAATTATATAATGTGTTATTAAATTGGGCAACTCATTACATCACAATGAGATTTTAGCATAAAATTCTATCCAAACGCCTTATTAAAAAACTTTTTTCTAACTATATTAAACTTGTTTCTGTCCATAGCTATACATTGTTTCCCATACGTGAAAAAGCGCATTCCAGTAATGTACCAGCACCATACTGACTTAAACCCAATTGAAGTAGCCATTGATGAAATGAGTAAAAAAGTTGCAGAACTTAGGCAGCTTTGCTCTTCAGCTGAAGTAGATATGATCAAATTGCAGCTGAAGCTACAAGGAAGTGTCAGTGTTCAGGTAAGACCATATACTTTGCCATTCAGCTATTTTGCTTGCTTCTGTCCCTGAAAAATTGTATATGTGGCATTTTATCATTAGTTTCTGTTCTGTATATTCAAGAATGTCCTGAATTAGAAATACGCTCACTGTTTGCAGTTATTTCCAGAATAGGAAAAGCAATAAAAGTATTTCATATAAACACTGATCATGGACAGTTACATGAAGGATTAAGATTCATCTCTGGAATCTGTGGTGGTCTAAGCCCCACCAGGTTTTGGTGTAAAGCTGAAACTACCATAAAATAGTGACTTCCCATGTGAGGATGAATGAACATATTTTGCCTAGATGTAGGTCTGCTCCCAGTAGGTTCAACATGGTCTTTATTGCTTTTGTATTTTGGTCAGATCCCTATGGAGATGAAGAGGGAGTGCCAAAATATAGGAGGAGGGTAATAGTAGAAAATCTCACTGTGCAACACTTCGTGTTGCCTAAGGCAAGCAAGAACTGAATGTATAAAGAAACCATCAGATTCGCCAAAATAGAGTACATAAAGCAGTTGTAGCATGTACAAATCAATATGGTAAGGGTCTTAAGAATGCAATGACAAAAGTGCTGCTCTTTGAATATTTAACTGATTCAAATCAAAGGAACAGTAAACATAGTTATCTGAAATGAACTGCTGTCATGTTCAAGAGCAAATAAAAAAAAAAACCAAACCAAGGTTCCAGAATCAGGAAGTTGTCAAGCTAGCATTTGGGATGAGAAGGGAGGGGCTCTTGCTATTAATATAAAAGAATAATAGGGCTGAGTAAGAAATCGTTGAATCCACTTTTCATGTAGGTGCCGTAATAGCACAATTAAATTTCTGCTAATTATTGAAGAATTTTCAGCTTGGAGGAGTGTTTTCAATAGATAAGCAGACCAAACAGTAGTAGATTTAGCTCATTTTCCTCATTTTCCCACCCTAATTTCATAAACAGAGATCACAGATTGGCACTATCAGCAGTTACTTTGCCACATCATCGAAGTGGTTTCTTTGTGCCAGGACAGGTTCATACAAGAGTGCTGTAGAGACCTCTCCAGCTTTTATGTTCCAACTCCAGCAGTCTTCTGATTTCATAAGTCCAGTTTTTTTTAAATCAATGAGTTCTAAGAAAAGCAAATCAGACAGACACTGTAGTATCTGTTATTGCTAAAACAATATGTCAGAGAACTGACTTTATTTTGTAATTCTTGTTCTTTTTAGGTTAATGCTGGTCCGTTAGCATATGCAAGAGCTTTCTTAGATGATACAAACACCAAAAGATATCCAGACAATAAAGTAAAGCTACTAAAGGAAGTTTTTAGGTATGTTTTTTTTAAAAAAAAAAAAGACTTTTTTTCAAGACTGATGTTGTAAGAATTTTTTTTAAACTTTTAACTTTTATAGTGTTCTGACTGTATTAAAAACATACTTCAAGCTGGCATTTTGAATTAATGTTTTGGATTTTGTATTCCTGATTGAGATCTTTTTTTATTACTTTTATCTAAATCAGGCAATTTGTTGAAGCTTGTGGGCATGCTCTGGGTGTAAACGAACGACTTATAAAGGAAGATCAGTTGGAATATCAAGAAGAAATGAAGGCCAACTACAGAGAAATGGCAAAAGAGCTTTCTGAAATAATGCATGAACAAGTATGTGCTGAAATTAAATTATACATACCAGCATTCAGAATGTAGCTGTAATGTGAACCTGCTAGGAAAAGTGTATGTAATGCTTTACATAAAAAGATTGTTTCTTCCCCCCCCCACCCCCCCCCCCCCCCCCATTGGAGTATAAGCATATCACGGAATTGTGGCACTTTCTCATTTTTTTTCTCTTTGTGAATTTTCTGCAGAGGCTTTCTTGACCTTCAGAATTAAGTCTTCTTCGTTAAGAGAGTAAATCTAGTTGGCACCAGCCTATTTTTTTGTAGAAGAGGAAGACTATAGTAAAGATAAAACAAATTTAATGACATGAATATATATATAATTTATACTTCATACATGTGTAGTAGTTACAGGGGTCTCTATTCAGTGACCCAAAAAGTTCATTTTAGTCTATACTTCCTGGTAACTGTAGGGGAATTTGATCTGCAAGCTTAGCACTTTTTATTCAGATTTCGGAGGTGTAAGCATTTACTTTTGCAACAAAGAGTTAAGCATCTTTCAAGAGGTATTCCAACACATTTTCTTGAGGGGAATCCACTACAGACAAGCTGGAGATATGAGAAAAGGAAAACCAGAACTCTTGTGGAGTGAGATGTAGGACCTTGCATCTGGGATCTATGGTAGAAATGTCTCCTGACTTCAGAGACAAGGATATTATTTCCAGGAGGACAGGAAGGGCTGAAGATTCATGCTTGATCCCTGCCTCCTTGACATTTTTATTCATCGTATTCATCCCTTCAGGTTCCTTTTCTTTCATCCACTGTTATTTGTGTAATCTTTTCCCAGAGCCATAGAGTGGCTCATGGATTTAACCCTCAAAACTTGTATTTCTGGCCCACAAGAAATACCTGTGTTTTCTGATAATATTTTACCTTACAAATACATGTCTGTGACACTTTCTTAGATGTATGACCATAATAGCAACGTTTCTTAGTCTAGGAACAAATGCATCCTAGTCTGGATAACCAGTTGGCACAAAGAGGAGCTCTGAGTTTTTCTTGTCCATACAAAAACTATAAGCTTTACTCAGAAATCAAATTGTACAAGAAAAATCAAACTTGAGACCTACCTGAGGCATTCAGTCTAGCTGATATTTAAATGTTCTGTTAATCTTCCAGTTTTTTTTTCAGGATTGCATCCTTTAGATGTACAATGACTTTACCCATTTACTAGTTTTTGAGATCTCTGAATTACTCTATTATTATCCAAGAAATACTTGCTCAAAAAGCTAGTCAGCTTGCCAGTATAACAGCTTATCCATAGGCTTATCTAAGAAAGATTTGCCTTTGTTCTACCCTTGCTTAGATGGTATCCAAAAATGTTACGGCGATTTTTTTTCTGTTCGAAAATGTGTCAAGTGTCCAAAGTTCACTTCACACGTTTTCTTGCTCTCCATTATTTCCTGATGTGGTTTCCTCAGGTACTGTGCTATGAGTAGCTCTGTGCTATGATATAATTATGGTGAAGCACAAGAATACAGCAAGTGCACAGGTTTTATTTTCATTCTCTTATTCTTTTGTTATACTATCACAGCTTACCACAAAACTGTCTTTTTTTTTAACCACCAATGACAGAGAATATTGTGAAACAAGGTTTGTAGGGAGTGTTGCTATTTTGTCAGAATCCATGTGGTGGTTTTTTTGTTTTTTTTTTTAAAAAGCCAGTGTCTTTCAGATATGCGTGTAGAGGAAAACAGTTTTGAAAGATCCCTGGAACAGGAAAAGAGATTGCTTAGCTGACAAAAATGAGACAGTTTGACTGTATTTCAATGTGATGTATTGAAAAGCAGAAAGCAGTGGAGGGTTTTAGAAAGGAGAATAACTGATGGGACAGCTGATTAAGATGAATGAGGTATATGAGAGAATGAGACAGCTGTACAGAAGACCCCTTCAGAAGAGAGAGGAAAATGTTTTGGTCAAATAGTTTAATGATAAGGATAATAAATGAAAGATTAATATTCGCCTGGCATAGGAAAAAGTAAAAGGATATAATGACAGTTTGTACACAAGAAAAAATACTTTGAACTCAGTGCAAGACATATATATTTAAAAAATGCTCAGGTGTGTGAGTTTCCAAAGATTGACCATAAGAAAAAGCATGTAATGCCTGAAACTTCAGGAGTAAATCACATTGTCTAAAAGTAAACAAAGACAAGAATGGGCAAACAACTATATTAGTGTTTGCCTATAAGATAGCGTGAATAGAATATGAAAATACAGCACTGACTGCAGTAACATGTACTATTAGCCTACCACTGTGTTCTTTTTATATAACTGTAATTAGTTGTAAATAATTAAAACATGCTGTTGTTGGGTTGCTGGTTTTTTGGTTTTGTTTTTTAAATTAGATTGATTGCTTCCCTGAAGGCTTAGAATCATGAGGCTCTTCATGGAAATCTTTCAAAATGTCACCTTTGTGTGCCTACCTATCACTGTATTTGGAAAAAGAGCTTCTCACAATGTTTGTTCCAATGTCATTGAAAAAAAAAACTATTAGCTGTCTTACAATAGTGTGGATTTTTAAAAATTGCAAAAATTTTGTTCTGAAACATATAGAAAAGAATCTTAACAGATTTTTCTTTTTTCTCCTCTGCTGCTTGCCAATATGATCAGATGGGATGGTAATTAGTTTTCTTTACTTCTGCTCTTAGTTTGTCTCATCTTTATATAAATCCTTTCTTTCCAATATTTCTAATCTTAGCATCAGTAAATATATAGCTGTTAAGAATGAAGTCTTTTTGGTACTTCAACAGCTTTTGATAAGGAATGCTCAAATCATACCTCTAAGTTGAAAAAACAAAAACAAAACAAAAAACCCCAAACAAAAACAGGCAAAAAGGAAGCCTGTTGTCCTTGTGAAACTCCCTTTGAAAGTTAACAAGAGAAATGAGAGAAGCTATTCAAGCTTCCTCTAGAGAGGACCGTGTAATACCTAAATTAGGAGAACTGATGTTGGAGAAGTAACTACTGCCCTCCTAAATTTAGTAGAGGATGGCTGAAAAGAGTAACCATCCCCAAAAAGAAGTCCTGTGCAATTGAGAAAGTACTAAAAAGTTGAGTTGATGAGCAGCACATCATGAAATTGGTTAGCTGTTTTGTACATGCTTGTGTCATTTTGTAACATTTTGGTAAATACATGTTTTCCGTTTTAAGATTACTCCTGTTGAAGAAAAGGCCAGTGTTATGCCTAATTCGCTACACATTTTCAACGCCATAAGTGGAACTCCAACAAGCACAACAGTTCATGGGATGCCCAGTTCTTCTTCAGTTGCATGATTGTTTTGTAAAGGAAAGTATGTTAGTGTTTGTTTTTGGGTTTTTTTTTTTAAAAGTATGTGGATTTGCTTCATTGTGTGCAAACTCAGGATGATTTTGAAGCTAAATGTTGGGCAGGTGCAAGCTGCATAATTCATACGAATGTCTGAGCACACTTAGCAAATAGCAGTTACTGGTAATAGTCTTTTAGAGCGAGGGAGGCGCACAGATATTTTTCTAATCTTGCTGGTAACGTTTAAAAGTATTCACAATGTCATTGCAGAGGTGCGTGTTGGAAAATTATAAAGCTGAAGTTAATTTCTCTTTTTCATTAGAAAGTATTATTAAAATTAATTGCACATTACAAAAAAGTGTTGTGGGATGTAATTTTGCAGATATGTAACATTCAGGTGTTCTTTTTGTGTATGGCGCACAGAGATTGATTCCAAGTACAAGAACTATTTTGGGGCTAGACAGAGACACTAGTTTTTTGGGTTTAATGGAACTGACAATAGTAGTTTTTGTACCATTTGGCAATTTGTTGTGCTTTATTTTATACCTTGTTGCATTTTGGAGGTATGTGAGCTTAGATCTTATTAAACAACTAAATACAACCAAAGGGATGTATTAATGAACACTGAGTTATACTAAAATATCAAGAGTAGTAAATTGTTATGTACATATTGTTTGTTAATACAGTCCATACAGTCTGTACATAAATGTATTACATTTCTAAGCATTTTCTAATATTCATACCAGCTCTTATCCTTCTGCTTTCAGTTTATTGTGAAAATTTGCTCATTCCAAGTATATGCAGACTTTACAGTTCATTTATTCCTGTATATAAGTAAGTGCAATATAAAGATGTATACAGTCTTTGCTATGTTAGGTTTATATGCAGTTATTAAAAGAAAAGAACTTTTTTGCCAAAGCAATGGAGTATGTAATTGGTGATCATGGTTACTGTGGTAAATGGTGGTATAATTTAAAGCTTTTTCCATATTCTTATTCTTTTAAGACATTAATTTAGTAATTTTATATTTGGGGAAAATAAAGGTTTTTAATTTTATTTAACTGGAAGCACTGTCCTGCTGTAATTAAACATGCTGTACTACATCTATATTAAAAGGAAAAAAGTAGTTACTTTTCTCACTGTGTGCTCTGGTTTTTATTTCAGATTTGTCCCCGAGACTGGGGAAAGATGAAAGCTTGATCAAAAAAAATGGCTTTTTGCAGCTTAAGTATGAGATGAGATGCAGACACTTCTAGGGCATGTTTCATATTCCTTGTCAATAAAGGCAATTTAGGTTATTAGTTAAGACATCGGTTTTGGATCCATCACGTTTGACTCAAGTACCATGTTACGGTAACTAAAGGTTGTTACTCACCAGTACAGTTAATATTAGGAAGTCTTCAAAACTTTTCATCAAATGACAGTAAAATCATCTTTTGCTTATGACATAAGGTTTACTGTCACTTTCTGTAGCAGAGCATGAAACTCGTATGTTGCCATTACTCATCAAAGATTTTTCCAAAACAGCTTATCCTGGCAGTGAAATGCTGGATAACTCTGCTTTTTCCAATTATGTTTCTGAAACAAAATTCCTGTTTGTTTAAAATTCATTATTTTGAAGGGAGGAAGAAAAAAAAAAAAAAAAAAAAAAAAAAGAAGGGGGGGGGGGAACCCCAGATAAATACTTCTAGACAGTGAACCCATAATGCTGTGATAAAAGACAGTCCCCTTTCTCCCCCTCCACCCTATATGCTTTCACTTTTTTGTTTGTTTGTGGAAAGGGGTGTAGGAATACTTTGTTACGTATCAACATAGTTAGTCTCGAAAGGTATTTCATTATTAGGAGAAAATATCCTGTAAAGTTGTTTTGCCATTCAGGAAGATTTCTATATCAATATATTAATAGAAATTGTGTACATCAGGGTGGCTTCTTGTAATTACCCTGCTTTTTCTAACTTCCCCTTTGCCCTGGGAGCAGAACTGACATTTTCCTACAGTTGTACAACACCTTTTGCACTGAGACCTCAATTTGACAGAGTTGTATCAGCTAACCAACCTATGAATGTAGTAAGTATTCATAAATTGAATATGTATCTATGTATATTTATATACATCTGAATATATGTGTAACTGTGTTGCTTGCTGACAGTTGGCCTATGAAAAATAGTGAAATGTAGTTGACAAGGTTGACGTAGGTTTACATAGGGTAGGATTAATGATTAGCACATGTTCAACTCTACGTCTACAGACATTTTGTTTATAATCTTACATGATGCATTTATATGAGAGAACACACCCTCTAATGTATTGTTTTGGTTTTAGTTATGCTAAGAATATAACTGTTGGGTTTTACCTCCTGAATAATTCCTTTTGTACCAGCCTCCCTTTTCAGCTGTTACTTCTGCCAACATGCAAATTAAGTATCTGATATGGGTTATTTATTTGTAAAGACTTGGGCTCTGTACTGGTTTTGGCTGGGATAGAGTTAATTTCCTTCACAGTAGCTAGTATGGGGCTGTGTTTTGGATTTGATGAAAACAGTGTTGATAACACAGGGATGTTTTAGCTATTGCTGAGCAGCGCTTGCACAATGTCAAGGCCTTTTCTGCTTCTTACGCTGCCGTGCCAGCGAGTCGGCTGGGGGTGCACGCAATAAGCTGGGAGGGGACACAGGCAAGATAGCTGACCCCAACTGACCAGAGGGCTATCCCATACCATGTGATGTCGTGCTCAGCAATAAAAACTGTAGAGAAAGTTTGCCAGGGCAGCAGTTGCTCGGGGACTGGCAGGGCATTGCTCAGCTGGTGGTGGGCAATTGGGCTTTTTGCATCATTTGTTGTTCTTGGTTTTGTTTTTCTTTATTTGATTTTTTTTTTAAAAGCATTAAACTGTCTTTATTTCAACCCACAAGTTTTTTCATTTTTACTCTTCAGATTCTCTCCCCTATCCCACTGCAGGGGAGTGAGCGAGTGGCTGTGTGAAGTTAAACCACAACAGTCCCTTTTGGCACCCAGTGTGGGGCTTGAAGGGTTTGAGGTAACAGATTTGACCACAGTGTGTTAGAGGGAACTTATAATTATTATCTGTTTAACAGTTGCTGGTCGCAATGTTGATTTACTTGTTCTCGGCATTGGTTTATCTGATCAATGCCATACTCCCTTTTTTTTTTTGCTGTACCTCAAATTTGAGAGCCTGTTAGAGTCTATATTTGACTTCTGCCATTTGCTGTGCAGTGTAGCACTTGGTTGTGTTTTGCCTGGGAGAACTATGATAAAAACATTGGCCTTGAGCCTCATCTGGTATTTGGGCCCTGCATTGTTGCATTCCCTTTACTTCAGGAACTATCTCATGAAGACAATTAACAATTACACTTTTTCCCTTTTCTCCTCTGAGAACCAGTCGGTGGAGGGAATGAAGAATGGCACCTTCTTTTCCTGCGGGGTAGATGTTTTCTCCCTTTTTACAATAACTCTTCAGTATCTTGAACATCCTTGGGTAACCAAAATACTCCTATTAGCATGTTTCAAGAATATGTTTCCAGCTTTTCCTAAGGTTAACCAACTATTTAGGAATATCACATAGGGATATGTCCCAAGGCAGCATGGTTATGGGTAGCGAGGCATTTGCGAGAATATGGGCAGGTACCTAGAAGGGTTGTCATTTCTGATGGTCTGGGAGTTCACCCCCGAACAAGTGCAGGATCTTGATGAAGTGATAGAACGTTTGAAAAAAGGATGCCTTGGCTATGCCAGAGACACAACTTAGGGTCCTGTGCTGGAGCCTGGCATATGCCTACCGAGCACTATTCGGCACCCTCAAGGGGAAGAGGAGGGTCTCTGGATCTGAAGACATACAAACAGCCCTGGCTAAACCAGAGACCCAACCCTCAACTGTATCAGTCGCCCCCGATAGTCAAGAAGAAACAATGGAAGCGGAAGTCAACTCATTTAGTAAGGGAGGAAGAAGCTTCTCCTGAGAGCAGGAGGGAGAATCAAAAGAGACAGCCTGTTCTGCAGCACAGCAGTCACAAGAACAGGAGGGGGAAGAAACTGAAATCATAAACAAGTCAGAAACCACCTGATGACTAATTGAGCTGTGAGATAAGCAAAAACATTCCAGCCATCATCCAGGCGAGCAAATTATCAGCTGGTTTCTCCAATGCTGGGATACTGGGGCCCATAGTCAGGAATTAGCAGGTCCTGAGTGACAGCTATAACCAGATGGAGCCCAAAGTCATGGACTAAATGAACTCAGTGGACATTTTGTGGATGTTTTACAGGGGTGGCCCGTAGGCTAAGGGAATGATACCTGTGTGTGTATCTGTAGCACACATTTGTAGTGTCTTATACATGAAAGCTATAGATATTAATGAGCTAAAGCCAAGCTGCCTAAATACAATTGCTTGTCTACCTTGCCTTGGTTTCTTGTATTTTTTTTCTGTCTATACTGTACAATAATTGTATAGTTTTCTTCTTTATGTATCACAGTATTATAATGTATTTCTCTGTTATTTCTCATTAAAAATATTTAGGCTGCTCTGGGTGATCATAATGCATTGGTTCTTGAAGTTTTAAAAAATTCAACATGCATTAAACATTTGCACAGGCAAGATGTTTAATATGGGCACAGTTTCAGAAAATTTGGGGAGAATAACTTTCTTGCATACTTCACCACCAATAATTTGTTTAATTTTTCAGATGATTATTATGATACAGGTTTTTTGCCTACCCATGAGATGTGGGGATATTTTTAATTTTTCTTCCTTTTTAGCCTGATTCCTTAAGAAATTTCGCTTATGCAATTCACTCTATTCATCCAACGATTTGGTGTTCTCCCTAGTAACTTTTGAAGCTGTTGACCAGTCTTGATCTTTGCCAAATTTGGCTGAAGAGTTTCTACATGCTTGATGACAAAATTGGCTGGCGGGGGTGATAGATTTAAATTGATAGCATTGCTTATGGAAGCGCTGCAACGTGAACATGACTTGCTCTCCAGCTGGCCGATCAGGGTGCCCAGGGTGGCCAATAAATTAGCATCGGTTTAACTCAAAGTGAGTGATAATATGGCTTCCTTCCCCAGATGATAGTATGCTCCATAGCGTACTGTGGAAAGAAAACCACACGTACTGCAGAGGAGAGGGTCAAGTCACAGGAATGAGGAGGCGAGTTGGGCCTGAGGCAAGTAGAGATGAGGGGGTGTACGGACAAATCAGGAAACCGGGCCCCTCTGATGCATGTGCTACAAAAATCTTTTTCCAAGATGCTGAGCATGCTCTAGTTTACTGTTGCCACAGTTTACATACACAACAGCAACTTGTAATGTGGTCTTGGGGGGTCTTTGCAGTTAGTTCTCAGGCTGGACATGGTAAAGATTATGTTAAACCTAACCATAATGTTATAAATATTTTTAAAATAGTATTTAATTAAATGGAATGATTTCAAATAAAACAGTGTATTTAGACGAACCTGGCTCTTAGTGAAAACACCTAGTCTAGTAGGTCAGGAATGCTTTTTTCTAATACCCAGTTTCTTTTATCTTTGTTTTCTTTGTGAGAAGACTTATTTTCAGTAAATAGAAGACATGTAAGTCACTATCTGTCGTGAAGGCTATCTGGTGAAGTTTGGGAAAACTAGTGTTCTGTGTTTTTCATGAACTGAAAAACTTGTGTATTTAACTGTGCCCAGACTAGGGGTCCTGGGGCTTCTTGGACAAAGGGCAGAAAAACCAGAAACATGAGGCAGATAACAACTAACTTCAATTGTCTCTCTGATATTTGTAGAAGTGTCCATATTAACACCTTTAAAACATTTTGATGGTGGCTTTTTCCTTTCTGAAGTATTATATTGAATGTATGATGAGTTACTTAAAAGCCACTTAGACTAAATATTTTTTGGTCTTGACACAATTAATTAATTTAAATTATATCTAGTGATTAGGCAGTATTTCCCTTTCAAGTTAACTGTAGTAGGTATTAGGTTTTTTGCTGGCATTTTCTGCATAAGGAGGAGTTTTATTATTTCTTCTCTCTACGCAAAACTTGTAATTGTTTTTTCTGCAAGAACAAGGTGTAATTGGTATTAGTAAAGTACCTGGGAATGCTACACTTAGTTTAATTGATACATGTTGCGAAT